CATCGGTGTCGCGAACAAATGTGCGTACATCACATGCTAACATAAGTTTTAATCCATTTTAATAAACTTAGAAAAACGAGAAACACTCAAACGAATCTTAGGACAGAGAGCTTTTTTTACTCTACTATCTAGATTTTTTCGCAGAAAGCAACTGCTGCGGTAAAGATGTGTTCTTAAATAGGCCTGGTTCACAACTATACACAAGAACTAAAAGCAATTATATCTCTTAGGAATAACTTTAAGAAGAAAGAAAATTAAATTCGGCTCTGACCGAATCTTTTATGCCCACTACCTTTTTCTTAAGTAACATACGTACAAAAAATTATATTTTAATACTATATAACATTGGGTAGGCGCACCTAAAATTAGCATCTAACCACTTAACTGTGTCCACCTCTGTAGCCATATACTCGTATACTCATCAAAGACATAGTGCGTGTAATATGAAATTAGGTTGTAATAGAACGACTTGAGAAATGATAAAAATATATCCTCAAATACATTATTATGGCAAATCCACTTTCACAATGATAAAATCTTATAAGAAAATCCGACAAAGGCGGATGGGCGGATTATGACGTATATGTTCGTCACAAAAAGTTAATTAGTTAGGACTTCAATCATGACTAATTTGCTCATAAGTTACTCATTCAAAGACAAAAGCATAGTGAAACCTATTGATAGGGCTATGTTAAATTAAAATATTGCAGTAAAATTATTTAAGACACCATTAAACTACTTTTCACATTTGTTTTCAAAGTAACAATGAAATTTTTGTTTGTAACAAGAATTTTCGTTTCTTCCTTTTGTAATTAAGAAAAGAAGAAAATATGTGTATCTATAAACGTATGTACATAAGGGAAACCGCGAAAAAACAAAGTTTCAATTTTGAAACGTTTAAGATCTTTGTAAAAATAAACAAACATTTACGAATTTTATATCGTTTTGCTGTCGTATAAACAAACCTGTTGAATAATGGAAAGCGACAAATGGGAATTGGTATAAAGTGATAAATATAAATTATGTTTAGAATTATTAAATCAACAAAATCTCAAGTGAAGCAGCACAAAAAGTTGTCGGTATGAATACGATAAAGAAAGACCAATAATAACAAGTAAGAAAATTAGATTCAGTAATGATCGAATCTTTTATACCCGTTATCGTTATTCTAAAAAGAACAAAATAATGAAGAGAACTAATATTTTATGCTATAAGGTATGGAGTGAACGCAGCTGATTTTTCCTACTTTCAAATTAAAGTGTTTGCCCCACAGGCGTGCAGGCATTGTAGGCGTATCCTTAAGTCACTTCCAAATTCTTTTGCAAATTGGTAGGCGATATCATCATTTTCGCTAACGGGAGAATGCTCACCACAAATACTACACAGGCGCAGGCAGACAGATGAATAGACGAAAAGGCGCACATCGTTAGGCTGTACCAACATTGTTTAAATAAGTCTAGAGTCAACAGGATTATGTCATTATAAATCAATCTATTGTTTTGCGAAATATGTGGCAGATTGCGCGGTTATGTTGAAAGTAAATATCGTATACACCCTTAGCATCGATTTCACACCAAAAAAAAAAAGAATCATTCAATACGGTTCCGTAATGAATGCATTCAATCCAACGATTGAACTAATAGCATTTTCTAAAGAATATTGGGCAAGTACGGTACCAGCGTAATAACGGTCCTTAACTGCCATTCTTTGCGGATATGGGAAGATTGTTCGACTATTTCTGTTGGATTTTTCCGGCCCCAGCAAAAGATTAAAAATTGTTTCGTTACTTAGAATTGTTTTGGCTTAAAAAATCGTCGTCTTCTTCACGTATTTCCATTACAAAATTAGTGTATATGCCGCGAATGTATGGGAAAACATTATAAAGTAGCAGTTAGTTGTCAAATGCCATCGCAACAATAATTATATATTGGCAGTTCGAAAATAGCGTGAAATTTATAAGACCATGTTGAACGACACTGTACATATAAAAAAAGTACTCAGGTTTCTGTTAAGCCTTATGATGATTTGAACTTAGCAATTAATTTTAAGTCTTATATTGAAATTTTCTTCGCGGAATCAAACCAATAATATACTTTACATAATTCATGTGTGAATGCTAATAGACTAACTTCTCCTAAAATCTTACGTTGGCCGGGGACACACCAAATTTGCGGGATCTTCCATCCAGTATTGCGAATCGGATCGAAAAATTAATGCATTTCAGTTCATATAATCAATCATCAATATAACGACAAAAAAAATTTCTCCGCTTACTGCTAACTGAACTGCGTTATATATGTATTGAAAGAAAATTAGATAAGGAAAGCAAATAGTCTCATTAATTAAGTCCGTCGATTGAGCTCTTATATTGTATTGTATATGGTTTATAAGATTTTATTGTCGATGTTTATTTGAGGTTCTTTGTTTATGTTATTATTTTGTTTGTGGGTTATTGCGGGTTGTTTTTCTTAAAATAAAGTTGTGTATTCAATCAAAACAATATGCATTTTGCACACTTTTTTGTGTTGACCGAAAGTATTGTGTTACCAGGCTAATTGAAATGTCGTTATTTAATAATAAACACTTAATAAATTGAAGAGAGAATACTATAAAAAGCAGAGACCATTTTTTAATAATTCAGAATTCATTTGCACAAATAAATAAACAGGTGTACACAAGTTTTCGCAAAATTCAAATATCTTATGCTCGAGTTCCTTGCAAGCTGTTGCAGTTTTCTTAATATTATCTACTGACCTTATTTCAGTTCTATTTAAAAAAACATTTCTTTTTGAAAAAGTATCCGCTTTCATTCCTAGAAGTTGTCTGTTGTAGTTTTATTTTTTTGGTTTTTTGTTTCTCTGTTTTTTTCTGTTTTTTTTTTTATATCCGATACGCATATTTAATTTCACAAATTTCTATTTCCTAGTAAGTCGCCCTGCTCTCGCCCTGACAAAACGAATTTATTACTGAAATTCTTGGGTCAACCAGCGAAGCTTAGAAAACTTATATATACATATATGTATCAGTTTTATAATATATATAAATACATGTATATTTTTATACATTTTAAGTTTATTTACACATTTAACTGTGACTGTGTGTTACCCATGTATTGTGTTCGAAACAAGTGTGTCAGGTAATGTGTAAGTAAGCCTCAGGGTCAACTGGTCGTTTTTTGCTATATATAATAATACATTTTTCTATAACTGTTTTTTAATCTGTATCTTTGTTTATTTCGCTATTTCATATAAAAATTCTTTTAACACATATGCACATTTTACTGTTAATGCATACGTACATATGCATATGTAGAACTCAAAATGAAGCAATTTTACAGCAACTTCTCGTCCATTGTTATAATTAGTAATTTAGTTACGGAAAAATAATATTTTTTTCATTTTTTATATGAGACGATCACATCTTCATTCGAAAAAATTAAATATATAAAATAAATGTGCGTCTATTAATGCGATTTATTTCATCAACAGTTTTTTAAAATTACATATCTCTTCATTTCACGTGTTTAATCGGAAACATTTAAAAACCTTTAACAAATATATTTGTATTCGTTCTATATGTTGGTTGTCATGACTTCAAAATTAAAATAATTACATAACCCTAAATCGACAACGTGAGTACACGCCATTTATTGAAGGGTCTTCAAGATCTAAATTATAAATCCAAGGTCTTGGTCTATTACATTTCTTAACAAAATAAAATAATTGACAAATAATCAAATGTGATGTCCGATAAGAAAATTTATACTTTCATAATTTATTAGGGGAACCTCTGCAAGAAAATTAAAGAATTTAATTTTTTTCTATTTTTTGTTACTTTTTTGCAGATTATCTAACTCGGACTCTCGCGTTACGAAAAAGTGCACTGAAAACTGATTTACTTTTTCGCAAAAATCCCATCTTAAGCTTTATCGATAAACGGCAATATGTAAAGATTATATAAACACCAAACGCACTCACACATAATTAAATGAACACTTTTTGTATTTAATAATATGAATCCTAACATGACTGTTAAACCCGTTTCCAGTGTACTTTCTGAACCTTTTTCACAACTTTGTTATTTAGTATATGCTTTCAACAAAAAGGGTATTTTAAATTTTGCGAAATTTTTGAGCTATCAATGTGAAAGCGTCATTGCAGTAACCTTTGACAAGTGTAAGTGAAGATATTCTCAAATACATTCGCTGTACATTCTTAGTTCATAAAAGAATGACTCTACCGTGTGACTCATTTAAAATTGAATCTCTTTTTGATAGACGCTATACTTTTTTTACCGCACTTACTCCTTACTTAACATCGACAAAAACAAAACAAGAAACATATTACTTTCACTTTAAATCAAATCTTTATATCGCCAGACTTTTCACCTGCTTTGCTGCCCTTTATTGAATATACTTTAGAAATAAAGGAAAATTCTCTTCTTTTTACAGATAAAATGCGACAACTATTTGCTTCGTTCAATTCAATAGATTATTGTTATTATTGCGGATTGATATTAGCAAAAAAGAATTCGTTCTATGTTAGTTGGTTTACAAATTTATAATATCCTTTTTGTAACAAATGAAAGCAGATACATAAGTTTGAAAATAATTTCAAAGGTGAGCATGAAAAGTCGGGAAAACTTTCATCTATTGGAAGAGTAAGTGCAATGTACTTCAACTTAATTTATTTTCCGAACCAGATTTATTTACCATTGAGGGAAAACAGATTCCCTTTGGAGTAGGGATAGTAGCATATACGTGGTTATATGTTATCTTGCAACGAATCTTCAATAACATTTTATTTTTTGAACCAGTTTGCGTTGAGCTATTTGCGCGTTACTTGTCTGAAATATTTCCTTCTGTTAACGTTTAAGAACAGAATAATTGTTCCGAATACTCTCTATATTTATATCTTGATTGATTTTTAAACGTTTAAAAATGTTTAGTTTATAAAGGTTAGGCTTTTAAATCATTTGTAATTGTATAAAATTGTTTTTTTTTACTCACCTAAATCGGGAATCGAACTGGAAGGTTCTTCACAATTTGGACTTAAATTGGATGCTGTCGGACACGATGTTGAGGATGATGATGCAGTTGCTGATAATGTTAATGATGACGACGAGCCAGAACCGTTTAAACCGCTGCAGTGACCGCTAATACTGCTGCTGCTACTACTACCACCACCAGGTCCACCACTACCTCCGATACCAAGAGCTCCAGTAACATTCATGCCTAAAGTAGAATGTTTAATTTTTGGCGGCGGTGGCGGAGGAGGAGGACGCATGGCAGTGTTGCTTGTGTTATTGTTACTATTACTATTATTATTAGTGTTGTGGTGATGTTGATGATGGTGATGAATTGAATTGTTATTATGATGACCGCTACTGCTGGAAACTACAGGAGTACGAAAAATGTGATTAGACACAGAAGTAGAAGATTGTAATGCATTTGTAGAAGAGGAAGCTAGTGGTGATGGTGACGAGTTAGATGATGATGAAGGAGAATTCATATGCTGATGGTGTTGATGATGATGCTGATGGATCGATAATGGTTGCGATTGCAAAGATGTTGAAGACGAAGAATGCGGAATAGCGTAAGCATGTTGCTGATTTGTGGATGAAGACAACGATGATGAATTTTTAGCAGAAATAACGTTTACTTGTCTTGTGGAAGTAGTTAAAACATATTTGCGTGTTGGTGTATGAGCTATTAAATATTGCTGACCTGTTGCCGATGTTGGCGATGTAGATCCTCCACTTGAAGACAGAGTTGTTGATGAGGCTGACGGTGCCGGAGGAGGTGGTGGTAGCAAAGGTGGTGATTGCGGTGTGTAACGTCGAACGAAACCAGCCCCGGGTGCTGGTGAAACCGGCGCGGAACGCGAATAATGCTGCAAAGGCGGTGGCGAAACCGTTTGACGTCGTAATGTCGCACTGCCTAATGCATCGTCATAGAAGCGTCCATTCTGTATAACACGAACATGTTGCAGCAACTGATTAGAGCCCACTGTACTGTTCTGCTGCTGCTGATGATGAAGTGGCGGAGGCGAAGATGGTGCTGAATGACTACTTTGAGCCACATTTATAGCAGTTATTCGTTGATAATGTGATGGGCTAGCTGAATGTCTTCGAGGTATATGATGTTGCTGAGATGAGTGTGCTGCAAGCTGCTGATTGGCTGACGTACAGGAAGAGGCAGACAAAGCGGATGACGATGTAGTTGTGGTAGGCAAGGTACGAGTTATTATGATTTGTGGAGATACAGATGCTGCCGAAACTGTGGCATTTCTCTCTGCACAACTGTTAACCGGTATTTGTACGTATTCCACGCGTGGTGTCAGTATAACCTTTTGGGTACCTTGATTGCTACTCAAACCCTGACGAGGAGGCACTGTTTGTACTTGCACATGTTGATATCTTTGAGGTGGATTGTTGTTATTGTTGCTGCTATTGTTCATTGTGTTGCTCGTCACACTGTTAGAAGTATTGTTTACCGCACTTTCCGAATCTCGTTGCAAATGTCTCTCACTTTCTTCTAGATGCAACAATTCATAGTCCAGTGGCTCGGTTTTAACTACTCCTCTTAAATTTGTGTTCGTTATCGCACTACCTTCCATGCTGGAACTACGTGATGAGGCAACGCTAATTGTGTTAGTGGAGTTGGCTACTCCCATATTATTAGCGGTAATTTCTCTGGCCAATCTAGCCTTAGCTTCTAAACATTTCAATTTTTTCAACATTTTTCCGAAGAAGAGGTAAAAACACAATATTCGAAAAATATTTTCCAAAAATTAATTTAGCGTTTTGTGTTTGCTTTTTTTTTTGTTTTATTTTTGTTGTTGGATTAAATCCGAATCACTTGTAGCTTTAGAGGGCTTATGGCGGCTTTTTAAATTCCTTTCTGCCTTTCTTGGGCCTTTGAATTTTGTATTTTTTGTGTTTTCCTGGTTGCTTGCAGTCCTCTTGAGTATCTTTCTTATTGTGTATTATGTTGTGTTGCCTCGCCTTTTAAGTCCTTCTCTTTACCTAGAGATCTTTGTCAAAATCAGTCTCGCTTGTGTTTTTTATGCTGGATCATTAATTTATATCTGTTATGGGGGGACTTCTAACTTCAGATTTTTTGTTGTTGTCATTTTCAATGATTTTTTCTTATCTAATTTTTGTTTCTGCTTTAATTATTTCGTATTTTCAGAATATATTCAGCCTTTAAGTTGCTTATCTTAACTGCCTTAATTACTATTTGCTTAACTATGTTATATTGGTACGTCGATGCGCACACACACGCATATACATATATATATATATATATATATATATATATATATATATATATATATATACGTATATATGTATATATATATATGTATATATGTATATATATATTTATAAGTAAATGTATTATATATAAATGTATATATAATACAGAGATCTATATAAAGATATATATACTAATATATATAAATATATATCCTACATGTATGTATATATGTACGTGCTTAACTCTTAAGGTGATGTCCTTTATTTATGTTGCTTCAGCTGCTGCTGCGTTGCTTATTATTGTTTTATTATTATTCACGTTGTCCTTAAACCTGCTTTTGTTACCGTATACGTTACAAGCTATGAGTATAATAAACGTAGTTTAAATGTAAAATTTTTATCTCTTCAACCATATTTTCTCAATTTTTTATGCATGTATGTATTTGACTGTCATCGATACTGGGACTATGGCTAATAATACTTTTTGTGGTAGATGATGTTGGTGTAGGCGTTATACATGCATAATATATGTGTGTTACCGATTATAAATAGATATATGTTTAAATGAACGCATAAATCATAATCCTTAAAATGTAGATGCAGAAAAAGTCGTAGAGTTTATGCGAAGATATTGCTGGCTGCTGGGTTGAGGCAAACTAAAATGAAATAAAAAATAAGAAGCATTTTATTACTAAATATAACCGAATTATGTAAAACAGACGCAAAGCTGATGCTTCGATACCGTTCGCTTTTTCCATGACATTTTCAAAACTGAAACTCATATTTCACTGTATATAAGAACCATTTTCAATATTTATATCAATTATATGCACGGGAATGCTTATATATGAGCACTTTAACAAAGAAAATTTTGCATCCATTGCTCACTATTTTTAGCACTGTCTGTTCAACATCTAAGTAAGGCCCGTGGTCCTCCGAAGATATGCGTGTTCCTAGGAAGCGTGGATTTTGAATCCATTATGTTCGTTAGCGTTTTGTGAGAAATCTCGCAAAATTTAAAAGCGGTTAGAGCATATCCTCCTCGTTTCGTTTAAAAAGGGTCATAAGTTGGACTCACGCCCCCAATCAAATCAATTAACACTTTTTGTTTTAATTTTTAGAACATTACAAGCAGACACTATGAAATTTTATTGGTGTGAGATGATCCTCCTTATCTTCGGATTTAAATTTAAAAAAATTAAACCTTTTCTTAAGTAAAACAATTTTAATCTTTCGCTTACTGCGAGACGTTTACACAACACGGTCTATTATCATATCTTAGTGTATTATAATTTTATCTCTTACACATGACTTTAAGTCATGCGTTTCTGTGCGTTACGTCCTTGCTCCCAATATGAGGTTAATTATTAAGTCTTCAACCAAAAAATCAACAGTGATATTAACTCTTAGATAAAACAACTGCATCTTGCATTTTATACGTCTCGCCGAGACATTTGAAAACAATTGTGAATCGAGTTTTTAGACGACCACGGCAATGGTTGAAATAAATTTTAAATTAATATCTACTAAAAAGTGTAGATTGCTAGCACAAATATTTTATTGTTTTCAGTACGCTAGGGCTGTGGGAACTCTTTCGAGCGGATCGATGGCGTTTATCTTAATTGACTGTGTGCGGAACGCTATAGAATAACGAAGCGAAACAAGAAAATTGACATGCTCGCTACATCTTTTTATAAGGATAGAGTAATAATGGCAAAAATTAAAAAAAAAAACAAGTGAAAACGCTGTGGTGAACCACGACCTTCCATTAAGTAACCTACACAATTTCGCTTAACAAAGTTTTTCTGTATCGATTATTTTCAAATAAAGCGTTATGTTGAAAGTGCTCGAAGAACCATTTTCAATAACGTTCTTGCTTGGGCAAAACAGGTTGATGTACCAAATTTCATCGCAACTCCTAAAAACTTGCATAAACAGACAGATGTGGACAGACGGACAGGCAAACTTAGATAACAGAATTACTTTCTGAATCGATCGGTATAATATCGCGTTTGGTATACATAAGCACAAACTTAATATAACCCTGTACCGTAAATAGCTTACTGTGTAATTTTTAAATAATTTTCTTCTTTTTTTTAATAAAAAGTCACGTCTCTTTATTAGCTATTGTATAGAAGTAAATTCGTTATGTTATTTTTTTTCGTAAAGTAACGCAACATTAAAAAAGATTTTTGAAATATTCCACGTATCGTTTGGTTTTGGTCATCCTATGGATCATTGCGGCTCCTACCAAAACAATTTGTTAATCGTCTGTTGAAAGTGGATAAATAATAAATTAATAGAATTAATATAGGAGTCTCGCAATGTAATGTAAGACCGAAGATTATTGTTTTACATAGTTTGTAAGTCTTTTTAGCTTTGTGTACTTATATATCGAGAAAAATGGTACTAGCATTGGCGCTGCATTGGTAATTTATATAAGAACAAGTATATTTGGTCGACGAGGGAGTTTTAAGATAACATTAAGATTTTAGTTTATTCTTCCGTCCGGTCACTTAAAAAAACGATATCAACACTAACATTCACTAGGACTGTTTAAAATTTCAATATGCGGCGTACTGACGCCACAATTAAAGAGGAATTTATTTCAATCGAAAGAGAACTTTCGCTTTTTTGCCATTTGGTTGCATTTTGCTTACCTTAAAAAGAGTAATGATAATATCCTTCCCATAAGTAATATCCAAAATGATGTCGTATAAAATGTTAGTTTTCCTTCTTTTTTTTTCAATATTACAAAAGGACATTTATAGAAAGGCCTAATAGTGTTCAAAAATAGTTTAGAAATTCTTATAATAAAAATTTAAGTTTTTGCCATCTACAACAAACACACAAACAAAAAATAAAAAGCAATTAAACACATTCATTTAATTTATATAACATTAAACCTGTTTTTTACTTTTTTTTAGTTAAATATTTAGTTTGTATCTGACTTTTCATGTCTTTGCCATAATTTAAAAAAATATTTTACGGTATTTTAATAAAATCTTTCGCTCAAAGCATGTTTGTGCTTTTGTGTGTTATTTTATTATTGCTTTCTTTTCGCCTAGTTTTTTCATGCGCTCCGTCCACTTATTATTATTTGCTCGTTTGGTATAACGTAAGATAAATAACCTTGAAATTATTTCATATATATCTTTATTTTAAATTTTATTCTTGATTTGCAGACTCAGCCGCTCACAGAATACGGTTATGATTTTGTGTTAGAATAAAAATTTTTATTACTTTTTACGCTCGTTCTTTTGAACACTTGTTTTTTAATTTATTTATTAAACTGTTTTTGTATTTATATTAAACCATTTTTTTTTTTCTTTTTTTTGTATAATGGAATTTTTCTGTTTATTTTTGGAGAATGTCTTCTCATCAAACTATTTTAAAACTTGTTAACAAAAATGTAACGACGTTTTGAACGCAGAGACTGCAGCTGTATGTGTACGTATTAGTTACCTTTGACTATTAATAATCTAGCTAATCAGATGTTGTGATACATGTTCGAATTTATTTTAAGATATTAAAAAATCAATTAGAAATTGTTTATGAAAACTAAGATGACCTTGAGCTCTCTATAGCAATGTTTTGTCAAAGCCTTATAATCATGCAAGTTTTTTTTATTTCCTATTTTTCCTTAAAAGATTAATTCCAACACAAACGATTGTTGTTAATATTAACATTGATGCAATAGGAACAATTTTACTTCCGTTTTGTATGTATTTATAACGGTGGCAAAAGCAAATAACTTCTAAAATGCAATACCAAGTATATTGCACACCTGTATATTTAAAAACACTTAAACAAACTTGTGTGAAGGTGTATATAGTAGCGCACACACGCACATACAACAAAACACACACATAACGTACACATTTCTCTTTTTAAATTATGTATAAAAGCAAAACAAACCATAAACAACAATAGTGTACACGCAACACCCAATGAATATACCTGACTTTGACATTGGCAGTGACAGTGAATGACGACAATGGGGAAAATTATTACACAAAACACTGACATATATACAAACAAATGCGAATAAAACGAAATAATAAAGCGAGAAGACATTTAAAAGAGAGCCCATTATAATTGTAGAGCAAGAGAGTAAGTTATAGACGCTAAAGAGCGTAATTAAGAAGAGAATAGCAAAACTGTTATTAAATAAGAGTTGATGTTAGTATATTGCACATGATTTAACAGTTGTAATTGCAGTAGCGTCAATGGGTGGGAAGGAATGTATGCAATGTATGCAGCTTTAAAGGGTTACTATGGCTTTTGAGGCTTGTGACTGCGACTGAGCATATAGCATTAACCAAGGACAAGGACAGCAGTTTACGCTTTACATGCGGCAGGTGGCATACGCAAATAACTGAAGTGTAGAAAAACGTCGTTTTCATTTCATGAACAAGTACAAGGTTATAATTTTTATGAAAACTCAGCTCCAACATAGCGGCGATTTGATTTCATTTAATACAATTATAATCTGTAATTTTTTTCGTGCAGTTTCCACTTGGCATCACTCGTACATGTCTGCCTTTATTTATAGCAACTTCTTAAGCCGTCTTTACTTTTACTTAAGCTTCTTTTTTGCTTTCAATATCCGTTATATCATATGTTTTTTATTTTTAAACAAAATTAAAACCGGAAAACAAACCGTTGTATCCATTGTATATGCCGTACTTTACTTTTTCTGATTCCGATGACTCCTCAATATTATATATTTTTACGCATATTTTTTGCACAAACATTCTCGATAAGAAATTTGCATATCCTTTATGTAAAAATCGAACTAACTTTTTCGAACACACAAAGCCAACTTTATTTAATTTTTTTATTTATTTATTTTATTTTAATTTGTCAGATATTATTTTATCTTCTGTTTTGTTTGTATAATCTCCTCATGCGATAAGAAATTTGTACAACTCTCTCATTCAAAAACTAAATACTAAATAAATGAAATGAACTGGCTGACGCAACTGACTGAATCGACTGAGACTGTTAAGAGACTGTAGGAGCAACAACAACGTCAAAACACGAATATGTTAGCTTTATAAGCGAGAGATGAGGGATATATTCATTTTGTCAAATTGTTTACAACATTCAGAGGAAAGATTCATAGATCCAATAAGGTATATATGTATTCTCTAATCAGCATCAGCAGCATTAAATTTCTGGTTTCTGTTCTTGCAAGCATTTAAAATAATATAATAAATATTTATAATCTTATGTTGTGCTCTACTTTGAGTACTTTGTACTCTGAGGAACGGCTATTTTCCAGATATTTTGATTTAAAAAAAATTTTTTTTATAATAATATATAATAACAATTATTATTATAAAACGATTAAAAAACAAAAATGGTCATAAAGAAAACAAATAGGTATAGGCATTTTTCATTACATTACATTCATTTTTATTCGGTAAATTAAATGTAATATAATAAGGGCGTGTTCGTAGTAATTAAGCTTTAAGAAAGTAAGCGTTCTTTCAAAACTAGTGAGCTTTATAGTATGGCTAGATAAAAAGGATTTTCAAATCCGATAAGCTTGTCTATAAGCCTTTTGGATTTAAAAGGGTGTAATCCGTTATTAAATGGGAATATATCGGGGCTGATTGAAAAATCGTAACTATTCTAAATACTCTTATAGATTTAGCGGGTCTAGTGAGTTTTGAAATGGAATAAAATTCATAATATGGCATTTAAATGTAAATCTTCAAATTTTGATAAGATTTAAAGGTTTTTCTTATAATGCGATGAATCTTCTCTTATATAGACAAAATTACATTATTATTATTTTCAAAAAAGTATAAAAGTTGACATTGAATTATAATGATTAATTTTAAACAATTGAAAATATGCTGGAACTATTAATATTATATTAATATTGTTTTTATTATTTTATTATTATATTTTGAACATTTTTTTTAAGTATTCTAAATATATGTATGTATGTGTGGTGTATGTTGTGTTTTGTTATTTAAAATTTTTACTCTTTTTGAGAGTAAAATTTACTTTGCTGTGCATTATTATGAGACCCGTTTTGATTTTTTGAGAGAATAAAATTCGCTTTTATTTGCTAATCAGAAAACAGCGACCAATTCAAGCATATCTTCTCATTATTCCTCTGACTCCACGTCAAAAATAAGCGTTTGAATGCGATTTAGCCGAAAGAACCTTCTAGCTCTTTTAATGTTTGAACCGGAAGATATTAAAACTAGAGTACGAAGAGAAAGAAATGTAGTAAGGGGAGTTTTCATGGCCTTTGAAAACAGTGAAAGTGAAATTGAAGAATTGTTGTAAACTTTGAATTTTCTCCGTTATGTTACTGATAACTATGGCAGAACTCTCATTCCTTCGATAGGAAGATAGAAAGAGAAATCTCTTGCCCTGTTAACAAACGACAACACTGCTAATCGGTGTATCTTTTTTAATAAAATATATATGTTTGTATGTAAGTTCATTGAGCATAACATTCAATGAGTAATTTATTGCAATATATTAATGGAAGGTTTTATTCGATTACAAATTGTCCTTATACTTATTTTGATGTACATTGAAAAGTTGAAATTTCTCAAAGTAACGAAAATCAAAGGTAAAGAGAGGGAGAGAAAAAGAGATTTCAAGATTGTACAAAATTACCAAGATTGATTCAAATAATCAAATATTAGGATATAATTTATTGTTAATAATCTTTCTCTCCCTACTTAGCTTATATTAAGCGTGCTTTCTTCGTTATATTTATGTACATTTTATTAAATCCTTTTGAGAATAGAATGCTTTTGCATTAAGGTAGGTTGGGCTTAACAACAATTATGAAAATGAAAAAATTTTTCATTTGAAGAAGAGAAAAACAACAAATTTTAACCAACTTTAATCTATATATTTAAATTGTTATAACATGTTTTATATTTTAAATTAACTTGCCAAACTTCTCTACTGTCTAGTCTTTGATGTACAATACGCTTTGCGTCATTTGTTTCATTGCTTTAAAGCTATGGCTTAAAACACTCTACTTTCAATTTTATAATACTTTACTGCTACCCTTTCTGGTATTAACATTCGCTTTAATCGTTAAAAAATTTTTTTTCTCCCCGTCTCTTTCACTCTCTTTGAGAAAAATTTGCATAAGAAAGTTATTTCCAAAAAATTTCGCTTGAAAAATTTTAACTGGACTTAGTATTCTTCAGTGTTAGTATTCTTCAGATATTTCACGTTCGAATGTCAGTCTTCGTACAGTTTTCAATAAAAGAAAAATATTATTGTTTTATGAAAACAAGATATGACTGCGAAATGTTTCAAGCCAAAGTTTTTTCTTATGTTGAATGCCATAAAAGAAAAATAAAATAAAGCAAATCTAAGAAAGGTTTCATAAACTATAAACGGAAGCTAACACTATCAGTAAATTCTCTGGTTTTCGAAAAGAAAGAACTAGAGCTAAAGCCTTGAAGTAAATAATACAGATGCCTATATGAAATGATATAATGAATTTAGATATCAGACTACGTGAACCTGTTTGTACACTTCACTTAAAAAAATTAAAGCGAATTTGCTTGTTATCCTTAGGAATTAAAAATTTACAATGATCGAAGAATTTTCATTAACAACTTCTTTTGCTCTTATGTCATAATTTTGTGCGTTTACTTTCGGCTTTAAATATTCACAACTAAATGGACTGCAGTTCCAAATCAACGAGGCCTTTATGATGAATTATTTTACTTTCTAGATCATTATCGTGGGCCATATTTCCTTATTTCAAACATTTTTACTGTAAAAGCTTGTTTAATATTGAAGATATAAGGAAAACACACAGTGTCAAGAAATTCTTTTCACACTTAATGATTCTTTACGAAAAGTTCCTCAGCTCGGATTTTTTTTGAAAATTTTCGATATCGATTTTCATTATTGTGACTTGGGCAAATCATTATTATTAAATAAAGCGTTTAGTTTAAATTATTTTATCATGATTTGAGAGACCCTTAGAGTCGAATGTTTTGAGCATTACAAATAAAATAATAAATTTAATTTACCTTGTAAACAAGAAAAGGAAATAAAGAGCAAATACAAAAGAGCGTAGCTTTTATATCGTGACTAGAAGTACAGAGATGATAAAGCACATGAATAGTGACCTTAACACTGAATTGTTCTAATACGAAATGTATACAGTAACACACCCAAATTCAAACACATGTATAACACTACCGCCTACCAACCAACCTCCCTGCATTCACGCTTCTCATCCATTAATCTACAAATAAAAGAGAGTACAGTATCAAATGAAAAGAGAATGA